ATGATCTTCTCTGTGTTTTCTGTTTTCTCCCCCTGTTCTGGAACTCTGATCACTTGCAGATTTTTGCTTTTGATTGTATCCCACATAATTCTCAGCGTTTCTTCATTTTTCTTCATTCTTTTTTCTGATTTTTCCTCAAACAGAATTCTGTCCAAGTGTTTGTCTTCAATTTTGCTGATCCTGTCTTCCATCGTTTCAGACCTGCTCCTCAGCCCTTCTATGACACTGTGCAATATACTACATTTATTTATCCATTCTTCCACTTGTGGACATTTGCTATTTCATTATTACAAAGAAATTTTCAAAGAATATTGTTCTGAACATTTTTGTCCATGTCTCTTGGGGAACATGTTGTACCCGTTAGTTGGGTACATAGTTAGGAGTGGAATCGTTGGCTCATACTCTGTTCATATGCTCAGCTTCAGTAGGTTCTGCCAAACATTTTTCCAAAGTGGTTGTACCAATTTATACTTTCATCATCAATGTGTGGGTGCCCTAGTTGTTCCACATCCTTGCCAAGCTTGTTATTGCCAGTCTTTTTCCTTTTAGCCATTCAGGTGGAACCTTTTTATATACTTTATTAACCATTTGTATCTATTTTTTAATAATTTATTTTATTTTGTTGTTGTTGAGAATATAGACAGCAAAAACATATACCAGTTTAAGTTTCTACATGTACCGTTCAGTGACATGACTGCATTCTTCGTTGATTACATTTTTTGGATTGTGCAACCATTCTCACCCTCCCCGAGTTGTTCCTCTCCCATTAACGTAAATTCAGTGCCCCTTAAGGTTCCTATCTAATTTTTCCAGTTGCTGCTGTAAATTTGATCCTGGAGATCTTCTTTTGTGAAGTGCCTGATTAAGTCTTTTGCCTGCTTTTCTGTTGGATAATCTGACTTGCTGATTTGTAAAAGTTTTTGTAAACTCTGGATACTAGTCTTTTGTTGGTTATGGGGGTTGTGGATATTCACTTTGTTGCCATTTTACTCTTAATGATGTCTTTTGATGAACAGAAGTTCTTAATTTTAATAGTTAGATTTATCAGCTTTTTCTTTTATAGTTAGTACTTTTTGTGTCCTTTTTAAGAAATCTCTCTCTGTGTCTAGATACAGGATTATGCACATTTATCATCTTCTAGAGAAGGTAATGCTTTGCGTTTCACATTTAGTTCTACTCTCTACTGAAACTGATTTTTTTTAAAACAACTTTATTGATGCATAATTTATATATCATAAAATTCGCCTGTTATAAGGGTACAGTTTGATGATTTTTAATAAATTTACAGACTTGTACGACCAACACCACATTTTAGTTTTAGAATATTCCCATCACTACAAAAAGTCTTGTGCTTATTTGTAGTCAGTCCCTGCTCCCACCCCCAGGCCCAGGCTATCAGTGATCTGCTTTTTTTTCTCTATAGATTTACCTTTTCTAGAAATTACATATAAATGGAATCATATGTTGTCTTTTGGTTTGACTTTTGCTAGTATAATGGTTTTGAGATTCATCTATGATGTTACCATTTATCAGTACTTTATTCCTTTTTGTTGTTGAATAGTATTCCATTTTATGGATATACCACGTTTTATTCTATCTTGAATGAATCTTTGTGTACGATATGAAGTATGGCTCATGTGTCATTTTTTCTGTCTGTTTAGATATTTGATTGTCCCAACACTATTGAATAGACTCTCCTTTCCTTACTGCTTAGCATGGCCATCTTTATTGTAAATCAGTTATTTCATACACTTATTGGAAAGCATTAATACCACACTGTCCTAATTGACCAGTATTAAAATAAATCTCAATATTCTTCTTTTTCTAGATTCTAGAGCTGTGCTGTCCAGTATAGTAGCCACTAAGCCACATGTGGCTATTTTAATTAAAGTTAAAATTCAGTTTCTCATTTACCGTAATCACATTTCATGTAATCAGTAAGCACACATGGCTGGTGGCTACTGTAATGAGAAGCACAAATTTAGAATATTTCATCATCACAAAAAATTCTATAATCTAGAGCAGGGGTTAGCAAACTTTTACTTCAAAGACCAGATAGTAAATATTTCAGGCTTGTAGGCCATATGGTTTCCCTTGTACCTACCTGACTGTGCCGTTGCAACGGGAAAGCAGCCATAGTCAGTGTGCAAATTAATGGCATGTCTGTGTTTTAATAAAACTTTGTAAAAATAGACGGCAGGCCCATGGTTGTAGTTTGCTAACTTCTGATCTAGTGTTTTGTCTCATCTTGGTGTTTTACATTTCCACATTAATGTTAATTGCCTCGTTCATTTCTAACCCCCAAAGAAAAATTGAGGCTTTGATTGGTATTACTGCATTTTACGGAAATAACGCGCACTTTGTACATTTATTTGCCAACTGTGCCCTCCCCTGCAAGGTATTTTTGTAAGTGCACTATGCCAGTTTTTTTTTTTTACAGTAGCATGTATGTAAACAGTTACATCATCCATGGATACTATTTGTTTCTGCCTTTCCAGTCCTTATCTTTATTTATTTTTCTTACCTTATGCCACTGACCAGGACCTCCAGTGCAGTGTCCAATAAAAGTGGTGAGTGGGCATCCTTGCCTTGATCTCAAAGAGAACATTATCTAGAGTTCACCATAAGTTGTGAGATTTGCTGCTCTTTTCTGTAGATAACCTTTATCAGATTAAGAAAGTTGCCTTTTATTCCTACTTAGCTAAGGAGTTTTTTTGGTTTTTTTTTTTTAAATAATGAACAGATGTTGGATTTTACCAAATACTTTCTTTGCATCTACTGAGATGATCATATGATTTGTCTCTTTTTTTCTGCTTATGTGGCTTTCTGCTTTTCCTAATCTGAGCTAGAGTTTAAGCACAATAAAATTCTTTAAATTTCAGTGAGGCCCCCTTTCTGATGCCAGAAAGGTAGCTGCATCCTTGATCACAGCAGGGAGTCGTGCATATCAGCTGTGTAGGCAGTACCATTGGAGTAGTGAGCAGTACAGAATCCTGTCATTTCACAATGAGCATGACCATTGCATCTTTTAATTGATGGACCTCCCTCCCCAAAGCTAATGAATAGCATCAGAAAGATGAAAGAAGGAAACAGAGTATCCCAAGGTTTTGTCACACCTTGGCAGTTACATAGTTATGCCAGTTTTCTGTCTGTATCATGTCCTTGAGGGCAATGAGTCTGAGTTATCTTCTACTGCTACTAACTCTCAGGAACTAGGATTTTAGGAACTAGGAGAGCAATGTGGCCCCACAAGGCTAAAATCAAGTTTATTGGCTAGGCTGGGTTACCTGGAGGCTCTGGGAAAAATTCTACTTCTAGGCTCATTCAGGTTGTTGGTAGAATTCAATTCCATGCAATTGTAGGACTGAGATTCTTGTTTCCTTGATGTGTGTCCCCCCCACCCCCTTCAAGCCAACAACAGTATGTTGAATCCTTCTCCTGCTTCAAATCTCTGACTTCCCCTTGTCACAACCCGCTGACTTCCTCTTTTGCTTTATTTCTCAGCTTTTAAGGGGTCATGTGATTTTACATCAGGCCCACCTGGATAATCCAAGATAATCTCCCTATTTTAAGATAACTGATTTGTAACCTTAATTATATTTGCATATTCTTTTTTCCCATCTAACATAACATAACCATGGGTTTGTCATGAGGGGATGAAGTTCATGAGGGCTAAAATTCTGCCTAGCATAGGGTTCAGTCTTATATATCAGATTGTTGTTAAGAACATGGTCTTTGAATCAGATACACTTGCGTTTGAATTCTGGCTCTACCACTTACAACTTCATGACCCTGGGCAAATTACTTAACCTTTTTAAGCATTAACCATAAAGTCAGACAGTAGCAACATCGAGCTTGTAGGATAATTGTGCAGCATGGAACTTACTTCTGAATAAATGTTAACTGCAATTTTCTGGTGGTGCTGGTGATTACGTATGGAATTTCTAAGTGACCCTGCTGCATTTTTGCTTGTGTCGAAATATTCTAGCACAGCACTGTTTGATAGAACTTTTTGTGATGATACAAAATGTATCTGCTGTCCAGTATGGTAGCCACTAGCCACATGTGGCTGTTGAGCACTTGAAATGATGCTAGCACAACTGAGGAGTTGCGCTTTTATTTACTTTTAATTACTTTAAACTTAAATAGCCACATATGGCTTGTGGCTACAAAATTGGACAGCACAACTGCAGTACATACCATTGGTTTTCAGTTGCATTCGAATAGGTTACATTGTCATTGATACAAATAAAACCTTGCAAAATGATGTGCCTATAGGATAGGCAAGTCAATAACTATCAGCAAAGCCATTTTAAATAAGAACTTGGGAAGGAGCAAGGGCGAGGTGTTTGGCTTTTTTGTTTTTTTCCAAATAATAGGCAGTAAATATACAGAATTCTGAAATTCGTAGTAGAAAGTAATATGGCTTAAAGTTTTACTTCATAGTTTATAAACCAAAAAAAAAGAGACAAAAACAAAAGAGGCAAGACCAGGATTAAGCTCAGTGATTTTATTTTTTTGGATGTAGTTGTCTGATTGAAAAGAATCATGAGATTTATCTGGAAATGTTTGAGACGCTCAAGACTGAGCACATTCTGTCTTTTTCAGTTCACGTTAGGCCTGTTCTTAGAAGTTTATTGTTGGAAAGCGACAGCAGTAGTGTGACTGCTCACCCTGCTGTGGAAGCGTGTCTTTTACTTTTCTAATATATTATTATTCTACCTGTGAAAGCTTCTGGTGAGGGTGCAAGGTTTCCTGCTTTACACCAGCACTCATTCTGTCTCTCACTGTCTTCAGATTCTTTTATTTGACAGTCAGAACATTCTTGTCCTACTCAGTTTTTCAAAGCCTCACTTGAGCAAAGACCACGAACATTTGTGTTCACATTTTACAATAGCTGCTTCCACTTAAAATAAGTGTTTTACAAATTGGATATTTCTCTATCAGCAGTGAAAATTACATAGCACTGGACTTGCTTTGAGTTGTCTAACTTGTGTTTTGCTTTGGGCTTTGTAGCCAGCCTCTCTCGGTCAGCCTTCCTGTCTCAGAGATATTATGAAGACTTGGATGAAGTCAGCTCAACGTCATCCATTTCCCAGTCTTTAGAAAGTGAAGATGTGCGGGTGCCATGTAAAGATGAGGATGCGGTGGTCCAAGTCCCCAGGCATACCCCCGTGGTTCGCACACCCTCCATCCAGCCCAGTCTCTTGCCCCAGGCAACTCCTTTTGCTAAATCTCATCTGATTCATGGTTCTTCACCTGGTGTGATAGGAACTTCAAGTAAGTAAAGAATGGAAAGGAAGCTATCATTTTTTCCTTGTTAGATTTCTAATTAATGAAGAAACTGTAATCAGTTTTATATTGTCGTGCCAATAAGATTATTGGTTCCAGCCCATTTCTGCTCATATTCAAAAAATTAGAAGACTGATTCAATAAGATATGCGTTCTCTTTGAAAGAGCTTGGTAGGAAATGAGGAAGAAAAGACTGCGAGGTTACACACTTGAACAGTTTTAATGTTGAGTCCAGCCTGTGTTTTTTTAAAACAAGTCTGTTTCAGGAGCAAAAGAAGGAGGCTGTTAGTTTGCCTCAGTATAAAGCAACATCGACACATGCCTTTCAAATCCTAGCTCATTTCAGTCTTGTAGCTGTATTCTGCCTCAAAGCTCACCAGCTACAATGCTCCTGGCTCACTGAAGTGGACCTGTATTGTGTTCTCACACGTGCAGTTTAGAGTGTCAGGACTTTTCATGGCAGTTGACTTCTAGCAGGGGACAAACACTTAATGAGTGTGACATACTGGAATGAATAGATTTTATGAGAGGAGAGCAGGGAATTGATCTGTATTGGCATCAAAGTTATATGTTGATCATATTGAAGGGAATGATCAAGTGGAGTATTTTAGCTAATGGTAGAAGTAGACCAGTGAATTGGTCTTGGCATCTTTGAAAGATACAGGTGCCAGCCTGTCAGTTTACTTGTATTTTTCGACCTTAATGCTTAAGAAATTTTTAATTTTAGTATTTTGCCTGCACCCTAATATGGAGAATTTACCATCGTAACTTTTGTATATTCCTCTTTTCTGATCCAATTTCTCACTTAATTTTTCTTTTCCCTCAGTATCTACATCTGCCAACAAAATCATTCCTCAAGGGGCTGATAGCACAATGCTTGCAACAAAAACCGTGAAACATGGTGCACCTAGTTCTTCCCACCTCATCTCAGCTCCCCAGGCAGCAGCTGCTGCAGCCCTGAGACGGCAGATGGCCAGTCAGGCACCAGGTAAAAACTAGCCTCACACCTTTGCAGAGACTGACTGTGAGCTGTCAGAGTCACAGGCCACGACAGCAAGAAACAGCTAGATCGCTTTGCTGCCTTTCGGTAGAGAAGACTGATATGATAGCCCTTTCTGCTTTTTGGAGGCACAGTTCCAAGAAGGCAGGGACTAGGTCTGACACTTTGTCCTTTTAAGGGGAAGTATCAGAGCTGCCACATTCGATTAAATGACAGATTGTTGTTGTTTTTTGTTGTTGTTTGTTTTATGGAGTTGATAATCCTACTTTTGAATACTGTCTCTGCTTTGAGCCCTGAAATTAATGGTTGTGATTAGATTATCTAATAACATTAGAATTGTCTCTCACATAGTATCTTAAGGATCCCAACAGCCCGTGAGGTAGGTATTAGTATGCTTATTTTACTTTTGAGTAACCTAAAGTTCAGCAAGCAAGCCCCCATGTATCTGTCAGTTTGTTGTACTGTAGAGGTTTGCGTGTTGCTGTGATGCTGGAAGCTATGCCACTGGTACTCAAATACCAGCAGGGTCACCCATAATGGACAGGTTTCAGCTGAGCTTCCTGACTAAGAAAGTCTAGGAAGAAAGACGCGGCAATCTACTTCTGAAAAGAATTAGCCAGTGAAAACCTTATGAATAGCAGCAGAACATTGTCTGATATAGTGCTGGAAGATGAGCCCCCCACCCAGGTTGGAAGGCACTCAAAACTGGGGAAGAGCTGCCTCCTCAAAGTAGAGTCAACCTTAATGACGTGGGAGTCAAGCTTTCGGGACCTTCATTTGCTGATATGGCACGACTCAAAATGAGAAGAAACAGCTGCAAACATCCATTACTAATCAGAATGTGGAATGTACAAAGTATAAACCTAGGAAAATTGGAAATTGTCAAAAAATGAAATGGAATGTATAAACATCGATATCCTAGGCATTAGTGAGCTGAAATGGACTGGTATTAGCCATTTTGAATCAGACAGCCATATGGTCTACTATGCCAGGAATGACAACTTGAAAAGGCATGGCATTGCACTCATCATAAAAAAGAACATTTCAAGATCTATCCTGAAGTACAGTGCTGTCAGTGACAGGATAATACCCATATGCCTACAAAGAAGACCAGTTAATACGACTATTATTGAAATTAATGCACCAATCACTAAGGCCAAAGGTGAAGAAATTGAAGATTTTTACCAACTTCTTCAGTCTGAAATTGATCGAACATGCAATCAGGATGCATTGTTAATTCCTGGTGATTGGAAAGCGAAAGTTGGAAACGAAGAAGGATCGGTAGTTGGAAAATATGGCCTTGGTGATAGAAATCATGCCAGAGATCGCATGATAAAATTTTGCAAGACCAATGACTTCTTCATTGCAAATACCTTTTTTCACCAACATAAATGTTGAGTATAAACATAGACCTCACCAGATGGAATATACAGGAATCAAATCGACTACATCTGTGGAAAGAGATGATGGAAAAGCTCAGTATCATCAGTCAGAACAAGGCCGGGGCTGACTGTGGAACAGAACATCCATTGCTCATATGTAAGTTCAAGTTCAAATTGAAGAAAATTAGAACAAGTCCATGAGAACCAAAGTACAACCTAGAGTATATCCCACCTGAATTTAGAGACCATCTCAAGAATAGATTCGACGCTTTGAACACTAATGACCAAAGACCAGAAGAGTTGTGGAATGACATCAAGGACATCATACATGAAGAAAGCAAGAGGTCATTAAAAAGACAAAAAGAAAGAAAAGACCAAAATGCATGTCAGAAGAGACTCTGAAACTTGCTCTTGAACATCAAGTAGCTAAAGCAAAAGGAAGAAATGATGAAGGAAAAGAACTGAACAGAAGATTTCAAAGGGCGGCTCAAGAAGACCAAGAAAGTATTATAATCACATGTGCAAAGAGCTGGAGATAGAAAACCGAAAGGGAAGAACATGCTCGGCATTCCTCAAGCTGAAAGAACTGAAGAAAAAATGCAAGCCTCAAGTTGCAATAGTGAAGGATTCTATGGGGAAAATATTAAACAATGCATCGAAAGAAGATGGAAGGAATACACAGAGTCATTATTACCAAAAAGAATTGCTTGACGTTCAACCATTTCAAGAGGTAGTATATGATCAGGAACCGATGGTACTGAAGGAAGAAGTCCAAGCTGCACTGAAGGCATTGGCGAAAAACAAGGCTCCAGGAATTGACAGAATATCAATTGAGATGTTTCAACAAACAGATGCAGCGCTGGAAGTGCTCACTCGTCTATGCCAAGAAATTTGGAAGACAGCTAGCTGGCCAACTGAGTGGAAGAGATACATATTTATGCCTGTTCCCAAGAAAGGTGATCGGGCTCAATGTGGAAATTATCGAACAATATCATTAATACCACACACAAGTAAAATTTTGCTGAAGAGCATTCACAAGTGGCTGCAGCAGTATGTCGACAGGGAATAGGCCAGACTCAGAAGATGATGTGGAACCAGAGATATCATTGCTGATGTCAGATGGATCCTGGCTGAAAGCAGAGAATACCAGAAAGATGTTTACCTGTGTTTTATTGACTAT